CATTTTTACCCTTTACAGTGACTTTTCTGTCAAGCCAGTCCCATCGGAATTTATTCTTGACGTTTGAGTCAATTTCTAGGATTGAAGACTCCTGATCTTTCGTCAAAATTTTCATAATTCCGCTCAAAACGATCCCAGAACAATGAATTTGCGAGACGAACAGGCCGCCATGAATCAGGTAAAACAATATGTTACATGCAATTTGATTGGTCCAATCGCTTGTAGTTAACCAATCGCTGGGCCGTTTATAATCGAGCTAAGACTTCCGCAACAAATAATGCCTTCAGTGATCTGATTAGTTGAAGCTTTCATACACGTCCAATCGCAGGGCTGTTTACAAACGGAAAACGGAGAGACTGTTCGGGAGAGCTCGTGAAAACTCGACGATAAGGTACCTGACCGCCCCTAAAATTTTCTCAACGGATTTAGACGATTCACAAAAATGATCAATTTAAGAAATAAAACGGCGGATTTCCGCGGATCCGCGGAAAATTGCCATGTATGAGCATAGGGTCGGTAGGTCGGACAAAGTTTTTTTTTTATCTTTTTTTTTTTCCCCCCATCAAAAATTTAAACAAGATAACCATAAAACAAGAAGACATTGAATCCACCGCTCCGCGGCGCCACCGCCTATTTAGTTTTCTCCCCGCTCCGGACTCGGGGGCCGGGGCGCGCCCCCGCCTCCGACCTCGGTTTTTACTCGGCCCGTGGTGTTCATCAAATAGTTCGCTTTATTTTTTCGATACATCAATGGATGCTATTTTCTTAACATTACGGTGCGAGCACGCGACTAACACAGAAAACGCGTTTTAAACTGTCGTCGGAGATCGCGGCCGCCGCCATGTTTCAATGTTGTTGACAGACGACAGGGCAAACGACGTACGCGCTCAACGTGAATATCGCGAAAGTTTGCACCGATGTAAACCCTCTGCACAAAAATGTAGAGGGTTGTTTGAAAAAAATGCCGACCGTAAAGTTTTTTTTCGACGTAGAAATTCTCGGTCGGTCGGGTTACCGGAAACACACTACTTTTTTTTCTACGCCTTAGGGGACAATTACTTTTGACACCTCTAAAAGATAATTCAATACAATTTTATTTATATAGCACTTTGACCAACAGCTTCAGCTACAATAACTCAATTTTATAGAACATTTAATATAACCATGAATACAATATTTTAAATATACTGTTTGCTTTGTGCAAGAGACAATTACGGTTTTCTACTTGTTACTTGACTATCTTCAGTCGCACAGTAACTATTTGAATACGCACCGAAAATTTAAATGGATTTCTGTGATGAGTCACTGCAATCTAACATGGGTTTCGAAAAATAAATTCTACCAAGAAATGCGGTGTTTGAATGAATACGTTTTACAAAGGACGAAGATTATCCAACACTGTTAAAACTGAGGTGGGGGTCAGAAGAATACACTTTTCATCAAGAACCTATGTCCAAGTTACCTTAACAGCATTTCCTCTGATGAACTTTTTGATAGTCGAGAACAATCCCCTGCCACCACTGGTAGGAGTGTCCTCTTCGACTTCTGAATGCCTTCTCTTGGTCCTAGATGGACGAGTCGTCAGACTGGGGATCGGCTGCTGAGACGCCTCCTTACGCATTCTCAGCCTCATCGTTGTAGCAATCACATGTAAAACTGTTTCGGAAAGAAAAAAACGCTTCCTAAGTAAAACAATAAACAGGAAATCCTAAACAAAAAAAATGTTGAGAGAATCAGCAAAACTGAATTATAATTTTTTTAAAATGTTTTTTATAATTTATAAGATTTGTTTAACCTATTGTAGAGTTTTTGGTTCATGCTGTATGTAGTATGCTGTCCTTAAGTGTATTAATGTATTTTATTTATTTATTGTAATATGCTATGAAACAGAGCTAGCAAACGTCTTTTCAATGTGTCTGCTATACTATTACATGAAGTAACAGCTGAAGCAAACAGTACTTTTAAAGTTAGACAAACACTTCTTTGACATTTAAAATAACCAAGACTCGGAGGGCGTATCTGTGTATACTTTACTAGGACTGGTTCGCCTTGCTGCAAACATCTGGATGTATTCAACATCCCATTTCACTTACATCACGGCAGCAGCAGCTGGCTTAACTTTGAGTGGTACACTAAACACACACCACAATAGATCTTCTACTGTACACATTCGTAAGCATTTTGTATGGATTGGAAAATTATTTTAATTTAAACACAGCACTGCACATTGAAATGGTGACTTCAGATGCATCTGGGAAACACACACTTGCTCACTACAATTTTAACCTATTTTTTTTTTGGGCTCACACACGAAGAAAACCTAAGACAGAGAACACAAGTTGTAAGGAAAGCCCAGCCTCTTGTGCTTGCATAACAGGAGCAGACTGAAAATGTGTCTGGACATATCCAGAGGAAGTACATCAAGTATTTCAAAGAAAACATGTTTAAAAAATAAAAACACCTACTGCTTCATTAAGCTCTTCATTTATATGAATGGCAAACACTGACTAACAATTGATTGGTCAGAAGAATCGGCTTATTCCTGTGAATGGTGCCTAAATATTTTGTTTAAAAAAATGCTTGTCCACCAGTTACAAACAATGTATACGCTGTACTAAATAATGAAGACATGAACTGATAAAAAATTGGCCCAACCATTGTCATTTTCAACACATTTTAAGTATACCTACCATGGTTCGATATACTGCGTAAAAAAACAAAACGAAAAACATGAAGCCTGTAGCTATCAATCTCGGATATTCTGACGTGCGAGCCCCGTCGCTGAAGCTGGGGGCAAGTAAGCGAGCGGGAAATAAGAATGCCTGCTTCAAACAGAACTGGCTAGCAAGCGTTAGCCACGGCAACGCCGAGGGAGACGCACTGTCGTGTCTCCCTATTCGAATCCGGCAAGTAAAGCGTGCATCTGAAACGTATGCACAGACAAACCAAATCATCCCCACCCACATTCATTTTTCACTCGAATACCGTTAGTCCAGCAAATCTCAGCTACCTAAATAACTGCAGTCGCAGGCTATCAGGTACATTTAAAGACAAAAAGCGTTACGCGGATCCGGGTTCTTCAGCGCAACATGTTACCTCTGCTGTCAAGTGGAGACCAATTTAGCAACGTTTACATATACGACGAGGTGATTTAAAAGCAGATCCTGAAGCAAAACAAGCTTATGGTAACCAGCTATAGGCTCTGGCAAATCAATGCGGCATTGCGAGATCCAGGATATAACACCAACTACTGTATGTCATTAAACATTCAGCAGCGAGTGACTTGTGACAACCGGTTTATATGCTCCTTTTGTCAACTGCCGTGTCGTTTGATTTGCAAGCGTGACAATCGCGGTTGAGGCTGTCAAACGGGTAAACTCGTTGTTTCTCGCAACACCAGGTAAATTATCGCTGTTGCGCGTGATTTAATTTTCAACAAATGGTCACGTTTTATTCGGCACGACAGGTAGACACGGCAAGCGTTATTTTAGTGACCTAAAAAGATGAATGGTAAATATGCCTACTAGCTGGCTAACCAACCAGCCTCAGTTCAGTCGTGGAATGCGTCTGCTCGCTTTCCCCACAGAAAGTTACAAGGCACAACTGCGAGTCGCGACAACTATTCACCGATACGTTTAGGTGAATGTTATTTTACGCACTGGCACTCAGCCAGTGACGTTGAAATTTTGTTACGGTGGCCAAGAATGAGCTGTACTCAGGTAAGGCCGAAGTTAGCTTTCCCGAAGCTATGTTGCTTAGCTTAGCACCATTAGCATAGAGCCAGCTTAGTTTCGATGGGGGGGGTAAAAACTGCTTCAGGCTAGCAGATGTGCACAGGCAGGAAAGGAAAATATTTAGCTTGTCGTCAGCCAACATTACATAAAACACGAGGCAAATGTGCAGATGGCTACTTACATCACGGCGTTGTTCGAAATATGCGCTCACGACCCAAATGCCATCACAACGGAGCCAGTAAGTTTTCGTATTTATGGAGCTAAATTTCTGATCTCAATAGCCGTTTCTCAAATGACACACCGTTGTTAACAGACGCCATTTCCCGCCTCTGCTCAGGCTCTGCGAGGTAAATACCCGTATGGACACAGACACGCCCCCTTACCTCTCAAACGCAAGCCAGCCAAGTCTGCAGTTGATCCAAGAGGAGAGTTGCATCATCAAAGTTGATCAAATGGACTTTTTTTTTTTTTTTAACAAATCTAAACGGTCAAATAAGCACGTTTTGACAAAAATGTACCCTGTTATATTACACATAATGAAGGACCTGTACAGTAAATATGGTTATCAGTAAAGATTCATTGTACTTCAAGTTAAACTACTGGAAAAAAACATTAATTGTAATGAATTAATTTGACAATAAAGTTGGACTTGACTTAATACTCAAAGACTTTCACATGATGTCACGGCCTTATACTCAAGGACAATAACAGCATAGCTCCAAGTATTCAAATATGGTTTGCTTATCATCATCAAGAGTCTAACAACCATTAGTAAGATCATTTAGAAAAGAGGATGAGGACCACTTGATGTGTGTTCACAAAAAAAATATTTAATAGACTGTAAGCAAAGTCCTTGGCATTTCAAAGGCTTTTCCACCACTGTAAACAAAAATGTCTTCCTTGTGAGTGTCCACAAATTGTGGTAGTCCAAATTTTTGAGAAACATCCCAGCACAGCAAAAACAAAACAAAAACAAAATAAAAAGTTGCTGTGTAAACTATGCTATTTTAGACTACTCCGCTATGAACGGAGGCACTCGGTCCTACAGCAAAATAGTTGTCAATGTTTAGACCACTTACTGTATATTGTCCTAGGCTAACCATTACCAATTCATACATCAACTGATTACATACTGTTTATTGTTTGGGCATGTATTGTTAGGTAACATTATTCAAATTCATCAGTAGTACCGGTAATCTGTTTGTGGAGGTGATCCATGACACTAAGGTTGCAAGATATAATTTCTGAATGATTCTGATGTCCAAATAAGAGAGTCAGGATATTTGGATGACATTTTACTGTACAAAATTCACCCTCAGAGAATGTCGATGGCTTGATGTCGCTTTCCATAATCCAGAGCCCGACCCCCCTGCATGTCTCGGTCATCATCATCTGGAAAAAAAAAGGCAAAAGCAATTAGAAATGTTTGAAGTAGGCATTATTGTGGACAAGACCACTCTGATGCTGTAATTATCTTAGATTTCATATTGGAAGAAAGTTCAACACGGTCAAATTAGTCAGCATGGGAAGTACATACAATTAATCTAAATTATATGAAAACATAACCACAGACAATGGTTCAAATTTGTTGCACCCCCCAAAAAAGCAGAGGCATCCCCCCAAAAAAAATTATGCCAAAAAATGAGAATGGTGTGAATTTCAATGTTTCAAGGAGAACACACAGACATCGTCAAATACAATTGAGCTATTATTATCTACATGTGTGTCAGCTCAGACAGGTGTGAGAGCTAAAAATGAAGCACGGACAGTAGATGGCGAGACATTCCCCGAACCCTGGTTTTCCTCGGTCAGAGAAAATGTGTTGAGATCATTACTGTGCCTTTCTTTGTACTCAAACTGGATTGCATGCATTGCAGTTCTTCTCTGAGCCCAGAAACACAATGTTACACACTGATGATGGATTCAAGGACCAAACTCATGGCAATGTGAGCTACTCTAAGCACAAACTGCTGGGGGAAATGCTTGAGGGAGGTTTGGCAGCAGAAGAGGAGTGGGGTGAGGGGGAGCAAGTGAGGAATGGTGAATACACATCTGGACAAGCAGTCCAGTCCCCCTGCCTGGCTCACCTTGAACGTCTTCCTCCCCACCATCACCATCCTCTTCCTCATTGTAGGCCAGCTCAGCCTGCTTGTCGGCTTCATACTCACCCACATTGCCATCGTCCCCATTGTAGTCCGCTAGCTTAGAGCCATGTTGCGGATCTACTGGGGACTCGATCTCGTCAAAGAACCGGCCTGCAGGAGGCAGAGAAGGGGGCCTCATCAGGAAGGGAGAGAAATGAAGGCAAATGAAGGGACAGAAGGAGTGGTTGAAATACTGCATAGTAAATGCTTGAAGGGTTCAGGGATGAAGCAGAAAGGGGAGATGAATGGATAAAGAGTGGCTAATCAGTGTTACTGAGCATTACGGTGACTTTTTTTGTTCTACTTGAGATCTGCTTTTGTTTGATACAGCCCACCATTTGCACTTTACCGAATCAAATACTACGCATGTTTACTTGACTTTTTTTGTTTGACCTAAGCACTGCAGGGCAGTGTCGAACCCTGGACCGGTTGCCAGTCAATTGCAGGGAACACATAGACAAACAGCCATTCACATTCTCAATCACGCTTCGGGATAAATTTGAAGAAAACCCACACAGGCACGGGGAGAACATGCAAGCTCCACACAGAAAGGCTGGAGTCCAATTTCAAATCCCGGGTCTTCAGTACTAAGGCGGATGAGCTAACCAATCGGTTGCGCCGCCCTATCTTAGACATGCTTTTATTTAAAGTATATACCAGTCGGCACGCAAGTAGAGCTTCATCATGGTCTACTTGCAATACAATTTGGTGCCTGAAAAGTAATGCAGAGCTAAAGGATTAAATAGGGCTTTTCTCCTTTAGTGATGGAAAAAAATACCACGATTACAGATGATAAATACTAACAATATATGATATGACAAAATGTGATAATGTACGACATATTGTTCTTCTGGATCTTGGGGATTTAAACATGCCAGATGGCAGCAGTCATATTTTTTCAGCTAAAACACATCAGTACACCTAAGTCATAAACTACCCTCATTAGCTGTCTGAACCGACCAGGTGAGGGTAAAACTCCAGAGTCAAGCAAGACGGGCAATATTTGGAGCTACTCTTGCCAATACACCGCCTCAACAAAACACATTTTTCTGGTGGATCTTGGGAAAATGGGTGCAAATATAGAGAGATAGATGCAGAAGAATGGTCGGAAAAACAGATGATGGGAGGGTTGTTACCAGGATATTGACAGCAGGCAGAAGCAAATACTATTACAAAACGGGAAAGAGGAGAAAACTGGTTGCAGAGCAGAAGCCAGGCAGTAGTAAAGGATCTTCTGGGAAGTGCCATGTGTCCCCTCTTCAAACCCTGTACCCTCAGTGTGATCCTTAAGGCTGAAGGGCTGGACAGAAGGGCTAATAATCCTCACTTGGATTTTGAATCCATGAATCCATCATGATGATGGACAATGACAAGGTTTCCTTTCTCTCTTGAGATTTGCAATTGTGCTCACGAGTTTACATCCCCTAAGATATGTAAATTTATAAGCTCAACCATATGTCCTGTTACATAATGTGTAAAAGAATTGGAAATAATCCACAGGTACTAATCTAGAGTAGTATAAATTGTTGAATGTTGTGATTAATTAATGTGACCAGCACAAAACGGACAATCTGAATACAGGAGGCCCCCCAAAAGTATCAAAATGTACTGTACTGTAGTAGAGTACCGGTATTAGATATATTCAGACAGCAATGGGCAACTTTGTATTTGCACACCTGACAGACATAGGGCAGCAGCAGAGTGCAAAGATAACCATAATAGGTGTACTACCATCCAATAATAATGTTGTACTTGCAAGGTTATCTTACAGCATCCATTCAAAACCAATTATTTTGTTTAAAAAAAAAAAGAATTTCAAAAATGTCCCGGGTCATACTCACTTTGGTGATGACGGAGTGCCCCTGCTGGAACTTGTTCTTTGTGGTGTGGTTGGATGGGGTTGGGTACCTGGGCAGGGTTGGCAGGCAATGGAATCCCCTTCAAACGTTCACCTGCACCTTTGACATCTGGAGCTGACAAGGACAAGAAATAGATTTATCTCATATGGCTACAAAATTGCATGAATGACTCCAAACCCGTTAAAAAAACGTTTGCCCCAACACGTGCACATACATGATTTTTTTTTCTCCAAATGATTATTAGCACCAGTAGAATGGTTGGAGTGCAGATTTTACCTCCAAGTTGTTTTTGCTGTTCACCCATTTCATCTGCTTTGATATCTGACTTGTTGTCTTCTTCAAATATTATTGGTTTGTCTGCTAGGTTGATGACACCAGGGGCGGCAATCACAGCTGCCTGGCCTTCCCCTCTGTCCTGCTGGAGCCGGGGTTGGTCGAGAGATAAGCCCTGTGCCCCTGGGCCATCAGCTGCCCCAACGCCTGGTCCAGCACCAGCACCCAGAACCACATCAGGGGCTTCGTCACGCTTCAGAGTGATGGCTGGCTTCTTCAATTCTGTCGAAAAATGCAGAGGCTAAGTCAGAAATAACATCGAAGAAGGTGGTACATTTTGGAAAGATAATGGAAAGTTTCAAGTGCATAACCACACTATGCAGGCAAGAGAATACAGTACTTAAAACGTACGCTGTGTGTCCTGTAATTTTGTTCTGTAATGTTTTTTGATTGACATTTATTTCGAGAATATTTCCACAGATCAACCAACTACTGAATGACTTACCAAAATGCACTTCATCAAGTTTTCCCACCTCACTGTCTTCAATACCAGGCATGCCAGCATCACTGCCTGGCTTTCCCATGACATCTGTAAAATGTCAGTTCGTGTAAGTAAAGAAAAATAAACTGTCCATTTGAGACAACATAATCAAGTCAAGTCACCCTTATTGTCAAATGCGCTGTATGTGCAACATACAGCAAGATGAAATTTCTTCCCTCTCAAACAGACAACAAAACAACAAGAGAATAATCAAGCCAAACACAGGACATGATGCTGATTTCAACTCCAGACAAATCCTTACTAACACAAATAGGTGTAGTACTTTGTTCTGAAAACCTGGTTATTGTGAAATGCATTCTACAGCACACAAATGACTAATACCCAGCAAAACGTTTAGGCACACATTCGCAATATGATGAACAGTACACAGGACAGTAGTAATTTGCAACTTTTGACTGGTGCTGAACATATTAGTTACTGTACTGTATAGTTTTTACGGTTCATGATCAGCAGCTTGTACCTTTTAAATCTGGACTGTCACGTCGGTGAGTTGCCACTGTATGGCGCTCTTCAGCCGGAGCCAGGCCCAGCGCTCCCTCAGCATGTCTTCCAGCCACTACGCCCTTTTGGCTGTCAATTGCATTCTGAGAAGTTTCCAGACGACAGACAAAATTGCACATTGTGAATTTAGCAGGACTTAATTCAAAAATACAAAAAAAATTCATTACATTGTGCACTATACACAAAGAGCAGATTAATGCAGTTTATGAGCAAATTACTAACTCGTCTTAGCTTTACAACTTCCTCTTCTAGCGTCTTCTTTGATTCTTCATACTCAATTTTCAGCTGTGCAATCTGTCGCCCACACTGTAAACTGGGAAATACATATTACATGCAAGTGTCAATCAAGGATTATACATGAGTCTAAACAACAGCAATGAATAAAACTTTAAACCGATTAGGGTGGTTTATAAATGAGAAAGCTAATTCATGACATGAAATTCTCAATAATTTAGCGGTACAGTGGTGACATTGGAGCAATTTGATTGAACACTGCAGCAAGGCATCATTGAGGCATCATTGCTTTTCGCTCTCAAAATGTGCACAACAAATG